TATATCTCATTGCTATATCCTACTATTTATTGATTGAGTTATTTACAATATACTGCATCATATTAAAATTTCTTTTAAAATGTAAGTGTTGTTTTGAATACAGTGAGACATCTCCTAAATCTTGAATGTATTTATAATTATATATGTCACGAAAGTCTCTCTTTCCACAGAAAAGCTTAAGATACTTTATATATTCTCTGCAGTTGACAATCTTATACTAAAATTTTAGGTAAATGTTAAAATTGATGCGAAATGTGATGGAAATGTAGCATGTCTTGAATCTTTCAATGTAAATGTTGGAGGTAATCGAATGACTGTGAGTTCTCAACAAGAAATTAAAACTGACGGAATTCCAAGGTAATATTTACTTTAGTCAGTAATTTTATCACTATTTATAGATCTGGCATAGCATATTATTACAATGTTCAATTTGTGGAGTTTGTTCCAAAAATGTTTGTGTTAAATGTAATATGAATGAAAAGCATGTGTGCTGAAAATTGAAAGTCTTGCATGTAATATATACCGTAGTCCATATATACTCCATCTTATGATAACATTGGGCATTGGGTGCTTAACTTCAAATTTTAGCTTAGTATTTGTAGTATGTAGGCCAATGTAGAAAATATATTTTAGATAAGCGTACAAACTTACATTATCATAGCTAGCATTATTTTATAAGGATAAAATGACATTAGAGAGACATACACAAAACCATTATCAGATAACATGAGTATACTTCCAAATCGTGTCTTGTTTCAGGGAGGCATTGCCGTTTTTTTGGCATGGATTTCAAGTGTCGAATAGGAGGCAATTTTTGTGGATTGAATGCTCAGAATATATTATCAAGGTAATAAATAGTTACTGGCAATGTTGGTCGATTTAAAAATCATCACAAAAATGTTGATTATGCCATTAGTTACACTAGTTTCAATGTAGGATTTTTTGTATTTCATTATTTTCAGCCAAGGATGGAATTATGCCCTTTCTGAATATGCGATGAATTAATTTATATTATTATACAAAACTGATAGTTAAGTCTTTTAAATGTGTTATGGTATGAAATTTTTTGTCCACATGACATTAAACATGCCTTTTAAATCTGGCACAATTGTGATAAATTTGCTCTGAACTTTTTTCAAAGGGGACCTGGTTGGCATGTACCCGATTCTGTGTTTTTTAGATATTTGTTACTAACTATAAATGTTAGAATTTGCATTTAAATTCAACCTGTACTTGTTCAGATGGATGTAAAAACTAAAGCCTTGTCAATTTCAATGATAAAGAATAATTATGATGGTAGTGTACAAGGTTTGTGTGGAAATGCGAACAATATTGGTCTTGATGATTGGAAAACTAGAACAGGTTAAATATAAATTATTTTAATTAAACAACTCCTCTAGGCACAAATAAAATAAACTAAGTCATTGAAACATACTTATATGTAATTTGTTATTCTACTGCGCCAAATCTAGCGTAATCATGAACCAGCAACAAAATATTGGAGTGATTACAACAGAAGTTAATTAACCTGTATTGTATATCATGATGCAAAATATTTGCCACATGATTGACATCTGGAACAAGACTAGACTAGTCAATATCCACATCAATATTTTAAATAACTCTCAATTGGACTTTGATACATCTCTACAATCACATGAATGGAGAAGACTCAGAAATCTTTTAGTATGATGTACCGTAGTTTACTTGTTGTAACAACTTTAATGGTAGTCGCTAAGGCTTCTCCGTGCTGCAAAACCACACATTACATTCGTTACTATTAAGGATCCGAGTAAAGAACTTTATTATTCAGCCAATAGACAGGTTGATCAGATAAAATATAGATCAACACAAATAAGTCTAAACTTAATAGGGATCTGACAAAAAAGGTGCAATGCCAAAGCTGCGTCTCATAGACAGCGTTTGGAGTTAGCGAAGAATAATGAAATCGACTTTAGTTTAAAATACAGAAGTCAAAATTGCGGCTCTAACACTGCATACTCTGGCATATGACATAAAATCTGGCATAAAATGATATACAGAAATATTTGAATAAAAATTAGTATTAGAATTAGTATTTAAAAAAGAAAATTTCTACTCATGGCAGAAACAAAGATACCATTGGAAATCTAACCATCCAATTTATTGTACCCAAACTCACTGCGTTTGAAGTTTGCCTAATGTACTTCTGAGAATAATTATGTAGTAATCATCAAATTTGTTGTTTACTTTTTCAGGAGTTGTCATACATGATGTACAGGTGTTTATACATGACTGGGCAACTACCAATGGATGTCCACAAGATTCTTTATCTGATGAATATTCTGAATATTTGGATGTATGCATTATGTTTATTTTTTTTGATGCAGCAGATTAGCAAATTATTCTTTGACTTATATTTGTTATTGAAGCTAGTGCATAAGTGAAAGTCTCAAGATGCTGAGACTTACTTGCCTGTTGCTGAATACAATCATTCATTCTATGATAAAATGAAATTGGTCAAATCTCTATCTCTTTGACACTAGAGATAATCTTCATATACCTATCTTTAATTCAGGGTCGGCCAACCTTTTCGGTGGAAGGGCCACATGTAGTTCACTAATAATTGCACGGGCCACTTAACATGGTAGTTATGTTCTAGTTTTGCTACACTGACTACAGGTTAGGAAAAAACAAACAATACCCTCACACCCAAACTTTCACAATTATTAGAATAATGAAACTGTTGTTTCCCAACCATTGATGGGGCGCCATCAGTGGTTATTTCCAAAAGTTTTGCCGAAGACAAGCCAAGACGCTTGATTATTTTTATCACAGCTCCCAACAAATCAATGCCTCCAGTCGGACTTAATGGCTGTGGGCTCTTCGATAATTTTAAATCATTATTACCTCCCCGCAAGAAGATTGCCAAGTTGCCAACTGAGCAGTAAACTTGATGTCAGTGCTTTCGCCAAGCGCCACGGAATACGATGGAAATTTTCCCGCTTTTTCAATTAAAGTTTCCGCTATAGATTTCCCAGGCTCTTCAACACAACGAGTTATGGTCTGTTTTGACAGGCTATTTTTGCAAAAACCTCTTTTATTTCCGGACGTAAAACATTGGCAACCCGAACAATACATAATATACATTCGATTGTTTTTCGATAACATCATATAGAGTAGTAAAAGACCAAGAGTGTTAGCGACTTTGGCATCTTTATGTAACGATATCTCCTCCCAGTTGATTTCGATTCAAAATGGCATTCATGGCTCGTTTGAATGGGCTGGCAGAACGTTTTAAAAAAATAAACAAATTGTTTGTATCACACGCGGGCCACTCTAAATGCACCCGCGGGCCACGGGCTGGACGACCCTGCTTTAATTTATTCATCTTGATATCCAATTTAGTTTGACTATCTATGCGACATAATGTACACAAAGGAATTTGGGGATTGTATGGATTATTTGGATTTTAAACCATATTATGAACTATGTCGTCGAGACATGAGCCGATGCGATCCAACCACAACATTAGATTGTCATTGCTCTGTACTTACACAACTATCAAGGGATTGTGCAAGAGCTCTTCATCCAGTTGAAGACTGGAGAAGAGAAACAATGTGTGGTAAGATGATTTTATGATTGGTATGTAAAAAATAAATATTATGCTTGATAATACCAAAATGAACATGTTTTGAGACAAAGATGCAGCGCACATACATCATATTGTAAATTTCGCATAGCTAACTTGGACGAACGTTGTCGTCAGGGTAGAATTGATTTTTAATCAAGTCTTACTCAACATTGAAAGAATAAAATGTGTTCACAAAGAAATTAAGAGTGGGAAGGGGAAAATAGTGGGAAAGTGCCCTAGCAGATTTCAACAAGTTAGGTGCCTCGGCTTTTGTTTTACCTCTTTTGAATGCCATGGTAGTCGAAAAAGCGCTCCACCTGGTAAAACATTAAGATTGTAATTTGGGCTGTTCCTTGAAACGAGTCACAAATTACTCAAATCATTTTGTGGCTAATTTCGGATAATCGAATTGTATGGTAATGTAAAGCACATGGACGAAGCAAGTCTTTTGATAAATTTTTATCAGGCATTCGGCCTCGACTTGTGCGTAAACGACTCTCGCCCCTCGCAAAACTGTTTTCTCAATATTTCTTCCTAATTTCCAGTGGCATGGTATTAGCCATTCCATGCATGTATCTATCTTAAAAGTTATTAAAAGAAACCAAGAATAGTGCATGATTGCCACCAGGTAAACTCATGTTGATAATAAATGAAGCACAACCGGTGTTAGCAAAACGATGTAATTTGCCGAAATTCGAAACGTCTGCAAATTACATCGTTTTGCTAACACCGGTTGTGCTTCATTTATTATCAACAGAATTCAAGAATTTTAGTGATATTTTCAAATAAGTAAACAGGCAAAAAAGGCAATTCAGCGTAGCTGAAAAAGGCCTGTTCTATAGATAGCATCGATTCAGACTGTTAAACTATTAAACATTACCCAGTTTGAGGTCCTTGTAATGGCAAAACTTAGGACTTTGAATTTACTTACGACTCGTTGTCGTCGACAATACACTCAGGGCATTTTGATCGATGTTGTGTTCGCTGTTCTCTATATTTATATTATCCTTTCGCATATCAAACACAAAGAGAAAAAGTAGCATGTGGTTTTTACAATGAAGAAGTCTGTGTGCCCTGGTCTGAGCACGAGTTTTTGTGAATAGAGTAGATGAATTTGGTAATTTCCTCATGCTGTAATCGGTAAAATTCAAATTTCATGCCATGTCGGAAGTCAAAACTCACTGAATGGCTGCAATAAGTTTACTGAGAAGGAAGTGATAACCTAAAAAAATTTCTGTTTCCAATTCATATATTGTTAGTCGGATATTTGCACCAGCAAATTGCACTCTTTCGTCACATGTCGGCATCGCCTTTAAACATCTGGTCGAGAGGGCCAAGGGTTTTTGCAAGAGAAGTAGAGTCAGAGCGCTTGTATGAATAAAACATGGTATTATGAACAAGAATTTTGCAGTTATTGCGATATCTCAGATAGCTCTATCTCTCTTTCTGGGAGCTCCATGGTGCACAACCTGAACATAGTATGTGCACCAGTTTAGGGTTCAGGTTGTGCGCCATCTTAGTGCACATACTCCAGGAGCGGCCCTTTCTTCACCACATAGTTCATGATTCCTGCAAAATATCATTATGTAATACAAAATTGCTCTATAAAAGTACCGTACGTGCAATTACTATTTCTCAATTTGAAATATTTCTCCTTAGGGACAAGAAATGGTGATTTTGCAGTCTTTGAAATAGCAAGTTTTTTGCAAAAAAGTTTGTTTAAAGTGAACACTGGTGATAACGCATGTGATAGGCATTTATGAAATCAAGCTATATGCAAATTTTGCAGATTAAAATTCAAGTAAACTTCAGTCACACTCGAAATAAATATTAATTGCAATTGAACCCTGAAATTTAGTATTCTTAGAAATGTTTTCCTTTATGCTGATTTGTTGGAAATGTACAAACTATGAATATACGGTATTATATTTTTATAGCGATGAGCCATATAAACAAGTCAGACCTGAAATGTGTCACATATTTTTAAGACAGAAATAAACCGATATTGGGAATAATGAATATTGTCTTGGCAACTTGATACAAAATTAGTCAATGCCAAGTCGTTCATGATACTTGAAAATATTTTGTCTTTATGACATAGTTACTGCTAGTTCACTGATCCATATACATTTGGAAATGGCAGATTTCTGATAGAATATTCATTATTGGGATATATTCCTTTCAAGCATTGTCAAACTAAAATCCTGCTTTTATTTGTTGACAGCAAGAAATTGTCCAGCAACTCAGTATTTTACAGAGAGAGCTCCAGGTTGTCCTCATACCTGTGAAACAGTAGAAGAAATTGACTGTGGCGTAAGAGAAAGTGACAATTGTGTTTGTAATAAAGGTATTTTTATTATTAATTTCATTTAAATCTAAAATAGTTAATGTTCGGGATTGAAATAATTATTTTAGATATAGCTTAATTAAAAGATGAAATATTTTGGTATAGATTTGTTCTGGTCAGATGTGGATGAAATATGTGTGAGTAGTGATCAGTGCCCATGTGATCATGCAGCAATGAAATATCTGCCTAATGACAAGATTGAACTGGGTTGTAATAATTGGTAAGAAAATAATTAAACATTTTATGTTAGAAGAAAGGTTGGTTTATGAAGAAAGCTCTTTTTTATATTGTATATATTCAAATTATGCTAGGTTCATTCATTAGGTACAACATAAACACTTAATTTCATTTCAATGTATAAGCTTTTTCTTTTAAGTGATTTCTCAATGCTTGCGGCAGTCATGATACCATAGGCTTTGATCTTGATATTTTCAAAAATGAGTTTGTTTCATTTGTAGGTATCATAATTTAGTATGCCTTCATTTTCATATTCATTGAGAAAACATTGGAATAACTTTCATTATCGAGAGTATTAGGTATTAAGTATTAAGAAAATTGCATTATATTATCATGTTAATTTGAGAGAAAAGACTGGTCAACGTTTTTGTGGTTCATTTAGTTCATTTGGATTTTTATCAATTCTAGTATATGCGAGGCAAAGAGCTGGACATGCACAAGAAATGAATGCCCAGGTATAGCTATGGTTTCGTTTAATTTTCTAATATTTTTATATATACACTGTGTTTTGTGTTCTTGTCACTTGATTATGATGTCACGTTGAGATTAACTATGGCTATATATGTCTAACTAACTTTTTATGTGTCAAACAGAGGTTCAGTCTAAATTTTGAATGAATAATGTAGAAAAGATTGGCCACCTCATCAACATACATATATTTCGAAAATCTTTGAACAAGGATAATACAGAACAATATAAAATGTTGTTTTCGACAGCTCAAATAAATCATAATGTCAATTCGTTTACTAAAACGTCTTTGTGCCAAGGTTGACCAAACTATGAAAATATGTAGGCTACAGAAATGTCATATTGAAACATGTTCTATTTTACGGACTTGTACATGTATATTATATTATTCAAACAGGTGTTTCTATGGTATATGGCAGTCTACATTTCAAAACATATGATGGAAAGTGGTTCGACTTCAAAGGAACCTGCACTTACACATTAGTTCAGTACAACGAAGAAATTGAATTTAATATTGTTGTGAACACTGCAGAATGTACAAAAGCGCTTTCTTGCTTGAGGTAGGTAAACTACTAAAGATGGTGTAATATTTTTCCATTTTGAGTGTATTTTGTATGTAGTGATATCCACACCACACCTTAAAATTATCAGCTTTATATCGTTTGTATTCATTTAATTTTTGAAACATTGTTATGACTGTCACACTGCATGACCGGGACATTTAGGTCAACCAGCCAGAATGACGGGACGGCTTGTCAAATTGGGACTGTCCCGACTAGACTTGAACTGTCACAACTAGACTGGGACCACCCCGGCGAGACTGGGACGTATGTCAGTCTCTCGAAAGTAGGTTCCGCAAAATATTTCCCTATATTCCCTATTCCCTGGCACGACGGTGTGGCCCAACGGGCTAAGCGTTAGGAATACGCTCGCCACCGCACCTCTAATTACTCTGCGTGGGTTCCAGGTTCGAATCCCATGCAGGGATGGTTATGTGCGAGAGGATTGCTGGACTCCTCGCCGTCGTTGGGTGGTTCACGTAACCGCTGGTCGGTTACGGCTTCCTCCACCACCAAGTCCATGCTTTCGAAAACAAACAATATAACTAATCCCATACCCGACTTGGAATGGTAACCGGACGAGAGGCCATGGTTCGCCATGTGGATAAGCCGTCTTATCGGCTTTCCTCTCCCCTGGGATAAATATGTAAATCCTATCCTATCCTATAGCAGTTACAACTTCAGTATCCACATCCACTTGTTCTCTGAATAGACCCGCAATATTTGGTGCATCAGATTGATATAACACCTTTCGTCACAGTCTGTCCCGAATTTTCTGACCAAGTAGTAGCGGCTCTAATTACTGGTGGAAAATTTTTGAGCACTATGACAACTTAAACTCTGGGCTGAGCACAGCAGTCAATATATAACTATTATAGAAAGCCTTAATGTGAAAGTATAAGTCTCGTAAACTGAGGTCCATGTTTATGGGTGTAAATAATGTTTCTCATAATTCTAAATCTCACTCCAACTATTTAAGCTGTGGTCAAGAGGCTTATTTTACTTTTATATGTGAAAAATTGTGCAGTTGTGATATATGAACAGTTGTTGTTGGTTAATTTTCATTTTGAAAATATATATGTGTATAATTGATGTTCGATATACTCGCATATAAAATACTTATTTAATATAACCATCTCATCTCAACAGGAGTGTGAAGTTTATATCAAGTAGCACGAGTTTAGAATTGACGACCAATATTCATAGTCCAGCAATTTTGTATGAATCAGGCAATTCTGATGGAATACCATTAACAATACCATTTTTTGAAGGTATATTTTTTAACAAAGTTGCAATATCTTTTTCGATGTGAATAACTCAGTCATATCTGTTTTGGCCTGTTTTTGTTTAAGCTAAGAAATTGAAATATATTTTTGCCTGAAATTTATTATTATTAAAATTCTGTTATAATCTATAGAGTAGGACAAGTTTAATCAATATACTTTGCACTTGAGAGATAAGTGAATAGCAAAAATTTGAGTATCTCAAGTTAACATAAATTAAAAGAAATTTGAAGTAGCTTCCTCCTGGATAATTTGATTCAAATATTAAAGATTTTATCAAGAATTAACATACCAAGAATCTTTTTTTGATCAGATTCAATTAAAATTGAATATATCTCTTCACTCTACATCCTTGTAACTATCGAAAATTTGGATGTGCGTATATTATGGTTTATAAATGGTGGATTGACTGTAGAAGTTCCTTTATCATATCATGGTAAGTTTAGTAAATCATATTTCCTAATTAAATGTATGTGAGGATTTAGAGATATTTGTGTCTGAAGTATGATATTTCGTTATATATATATATATATATTATCTATAAACGTTTTTGATTTATTTGAATAGATCTGATTACAATGAAAATTATGATATATGTTGAATATGATTTTTCCACAATTTCAAAAATATGACTTCACTGCAATTTATCAATTTTTTATTTCTCAGGCAAGTTGAAGGGGATGGCTGGAACATACACTGGTCTAACAACTGATGACTTTTTGACATATGACAATATGACTGCTAACACTGCAACAGATTTTGGCAATAAATGGGCAATCAATAACACAGGGTCATGTACGCCGGTTGATCCAATAAGTCATGATGATGCTGAAATGTTAAGAGGTTTGTTAGAATTTTTCCATTATATGATATAAGAATGTGCTTTACAATACCGGTTTCATACATAATTTCTACAAATGACCTAGTTCTCTGAACAGCTTTCAGTCAAAGTCATAGTCTAATCTCTGTAAATCTCTTATATTGGTTTATGAGTTTGCATCCTCCAAATTCAATGCCATTTGACCCCAAAGATTAAATTTACAGAGATGTATTTAAATGTGCAGGTATTATTATTTCAACTGGATTACATGAAAATGTTTAAATAAACAATCTAAAAGATTTTTTAGCATTCTAAGAAGAAAGGTAACATTTTGATTGTTATTAAAATTTAATCATATTGGAAAGACAGTTCAAAAGCTGTGCTAAGTGTTGGAGGAATGCTTGCCATTGCACCGCTCTGTCTGGATTGCCATGTTTGAGTAGTAGCTCTTTTCTGATGTTGAGTGAATTTGATAACATACATAAAACAGAAGGAATACAGTACTGTACATGTGCGAAATACAATATACACATACAGTGCTTGAGTCTGGGCTAGTCCGATAGAGTATATTATTTCGGAACAAATGAAAGTTTCACCGCTGCCAAAGTTTAGGAATGAACGTGCCAATTATCATGTGTCATGGCTGACAAATGATCCCACATTAACTTCTGCAGTACGCGAGAGTTATTGTCTCCATGCAAGAGTAGTGGGATAAATTTTATTCACAACGGTACAATATATACAATATACAAATACAGTATTTGAGTCTGGGCAAGTCCGATAGTATATAGCAAATGAAAGTTTCGATACTGCCAAAGTTTAGGAATTGAAGTGTCAATTATCATGTGTCTTGACTGACAAACGATCCTACAATAACTTGTGCAGTATGCAAGAGTTATTGTTTCAGTCCAAGGGTAGTGAGATAAATTTTATTCGCAACAGTAGCAGTGGCATCAGTATGACTGATATTTTTTAATTCCAAGCGAGCGAAGAATCGGACTTGGAGGAAATTAAAAATTAGATACTGAGTTTGATCAGTCATGTAATATTCGTGGTTTGAAAAAATTTACAATCACATAAACAAATTACAATCAAATTAACAAATTTAATGGAACATAAAAAAACATAACAAAATTTTTGTAGCGATTTCATTGAAGATGCGCCCATAGAGCCGAGGTTATTGGCAGCGGTAGAATTTTCATATGTGTACAGTTATCTGCATATTCAGTACCTTATTACCGGTCAGTCGATCACATGCTATTTCGAAGATTTTAGTTGATTGTGGTCGAAAGCAGGTTGGCCACCCCTGCTGTAGTCTATTGCAGACATCTGTTGCCATGAAAGTCATGCATCTATGATACTTATGTCTGTTCCAATACCTGTATATAAAATAGAAACCATAAAAGAAGTCATGCTTCATCTCATAATAGGTGGTTTTCTGATTGGCCTTTTTCACTCCTGCAAAAAAATAATGAAAAAAGTATTATATTCAAGTATAATTTGAAATTTATTAAATCATGTTTTAAATTTATTTACCACAGATCCCAGCATCGATGAAAAGTGCAAAATGTTGTATTCTGTGTTCAAAGATTGTCTGCCATATACTGAGAGTCATACATTTTATGCAAATTGTCAAGTAGATCTTGTCGCTTGTCAAAATTCATTATCTTGTTTATGTGATTCTCTTGCTGCGTATGCACAACATTGTGCAGGATATGGAGTGACAAATACAAATTGGAGAAGTTCGTTTGGTTGTGGTAAGGCCATCAGGCGCATTTTTTTGTATCCACTAAAAATGTTCTTCCTGTATAATCCCCACAAGAGTATGCTTCGCTGGTAATAATTTGGAATATTTTCAGATGTACAGGGGGACCCAAAAAACAGAACCAATAAATTTCTTAATTACTTCCATGAAAAAAGAGTCATTTATTTGATTTTGTTCACACTTAAACTTGTATTTGTGTATGTTTGTACCCAAACGTTTCAGGAGTCCAAGACTTTTTGCACATAGATATTCATAGTTTTATTTTGATTGGTAGATACAATTTACATATTTATCCCGGGAAAGCCGATAAGACGGGTTAACCATATGGCGAGCCACGGCCTCTCGTCCGGTTACCATTCCATGTTGGGTATGGGTTTAGTTATCGTAGTAATTTGTTTTAGAAGCATAGGACTTGATGGTGGAGGAAACGATAACCGATCAGCGGTTACGTGAACCTCCATATGACGGCAAGGAGTTCAGCGATCCTCTCGCACATAACCATCCCCGCGAACCCTCTAGAGTAATCAGAGGTTTGGTGGCGAGCATATTCCTGACGCTTAGCACGATGAGCCACACCGCCATCCCAATTCCCAATCATGATCAAACAATACATGCTTATCAGGTAATAAAACTAGGGCGAACAGGGAATTTCCTTGTGAAGTGAAACATATGCAAACGAAGATGCATTGAAATCGATTTAGAGCCTTATTCGAGGGCGGCATCGTGTTCCCCTCGAACTGCTCTGTGGCTGCCTTAGGGGGCCACAGGTCTCCGGTTGGGAACCTCTGGTGTATTAAAACATTTCCCAAGCAAGTGATGAACGAGCAAGTGAAAAAAATCCTCATTGAGGAGTGCGTGTTTGTTATTTTACGATTTTGCGCAACGAATGCAAGTCTGTCTCCAATGCCTGGTAGGTGAATTTGAACATATTCTACATAGAGCATAACTTTTTGTGCAAAACGTCCTAGATTCCTGAAACTTACGGGTGCATATTCAGAAGTTGAAGCATAAACAAATTTTATGAACCTTTTCATTTTTGTACAAGTTATTACCGGTAACAAGTTTATGGTTTCAGTTTTCTAGGGTCATCCTGTATATACAGAAAATTAAGAAATCAATTTTCAAATTATCATTATAGCAAAAAGTATTATATGTTATGTAACTTTTGCTTTATATGAGAAAATTAGTGATCATCTTCAAAACCTTTTCATATCCCATTGGCACTCACATAACTAGTTTTGTTTTAAATTTTAGTCTATAACCTCCATAATATGAACATTGTTTGAAATCTGCCTCATCGAAAGCTGGTAGCAGTTCATTTACATCGGAATACTGCTGGAAATGTGTGTTTTGGTTTTAGCAAACCAGCATTAAAATCTCTTCTAGGGTTTTTCTTGATAAATTTAGTACTTATATAAAAACCTCCTTTTAGAAATAAATTGCCCAGAAACACAAGAATATATGGAGTATGGCACCAGGTGTGGCCGTACTTGCAGATCGATATCAGAGCCTGAAGCATGCCAAAAACATCACTTTGCAGAAGGATGCAATTGTCCTGATGGTAAGATCAAAGCTTCATTGAGATAACTATTCATCCTGAAATCATTTTATTTTTCGAGTCGGCGCTGATTTAAATATTTCATGTCGACTCTTATGATTTCATTTTTGCTTATATATTATGGTAATACCGTCAACTCAAACTTAATGATATTGTCATCAACGTCGGCGGGATAACGATAAAATGCGCACACTGCTGCCTAAGATTACGATAAAAAATGGAATAAATGTAAAATTTTATAAATCAAAACATGGACGGCAGTGCTAGGATCGTGATACTCAATATTAAATTAGAGTTGGGCATCTCTGCTTTGAACTTTGCATTAAATTAACCTAAAATAAACTAATTACACTACGCACACTTTTTAAATTGTTGGTTTTCGGCCTTTCTTATGTCAAAAATCTTACGTTAGTTGAAGCAATATTTTTACGAAAACAATTTTTGTAAGTTGTATTTGAGCCTTTTCTAGGTAGAGTTTCTACTGTATCTGTAAATTTCCCATAAACAGGCAAAATTTCGGATTTCAGTTTGGCCAGAAATAATCTAAAGAAAAGTAATTTTAGTAGGGGCAGTGTAATCTACCTAAACGTCTGTGAATGACATTTTTTTCCGAAGGATCAAATCTAGGGGCAGGTGAAGTTGTAAGAGTTGAATCGAAACAATTTGTTCATGAACAACACTTACATTATTTTTCAAAATATGCAAATTCAAAGTTGAAATGTTTTAGTTTGTGGTTAATAATTTTCCTTCGCATGTTTTAGGCAAATTTCTTAACTCGGATGATAAATGTGTTGATATTTCTGATTGTGGATGTTACAAAGGTACAAATTGGTATCATCCTAGGGAAGCCTTTTACCCCATTCCCTCAACTATATGGTGAGTATTTTGCTTACGTGCATTTAACATTATTGAATATCATCATTAACCAAATACAGTTGGTCATTGAATTGATTTTTAATTTTAAAAATGTCACATGAAAAAATGTGTTATGAAATTTCTTTCGATGAGGTTCTGTTGTTCTGTAAAGTTCTGTTGTTCTCTGTTGTTGTAAAGTTCAGAGTATTCTGTTGATACCACTTTATGACGAACTAATATTATATCTCCTAAAATCGGAATTCATTCCAAACCAACCTGCACTGTCAACAAGTGTGATATAGTATTTAGTACAAATCCCTAAATTCCAAGTTGAGTCACTACATAACAAGTCAGGTTACTTGGAAGTTCACTTGAGTGGACTCATTTTATGCTTAATTTTTTAGACAGAACATTTTTCAACAGGATGAAATTTTCGTAGCATTCCCTCATGAATTTGTATAGAAAAATATTTTTCTGTTTCAGTGAATGTATTCATGGCAGAATTGAATGCACACGAGATGATTCAACTGATGGTAAGAAATTTGCAATCCATTTTTGCTTTTTATATCACTGAGTGGATATTGATATGAGATGAATTCATTTCATACTGGTTGAATATGACAGAATAAATTGTCGAACAATTTTTGATTATTTCATATCATGAAATATATGATTCTGATGGTTTGAAGAATGCATTGACTTTTTATTTGCCTGTTTCAAGGCCTTTTATTACACTTCAAGATTATAACTACATATATATGCACAAGTGAATATCAGTTTTCTTGAAAATCCTTTGATGATTATGTATGTGTCCGAATCACTGAGGCAAGCTTTGCATCACAACATTCTGTCATTCAAGTCATTTTAACACATACCTCATTTTATGAACAAAATTGTGCAATTTCGATATCCACTTCAACTTATTTTTATGTCACTTTTTTCTGTTATTTATTGAAGCGAATATATATTATAGATACCATATGCCCCATTGGCATGATATATGAGACATGTGAAAGTGCAGATAGACATGGTACTGAATGTATTGCAACATGTGTGACACATATATCTAACACAACTTGTGGTGCCACTACATGTGAACCAGGTATTTTTAATGAAATTAATATATTCAACTAAGTACATGGACTTACAGAATAGATATTACAAAGCTAAGGATGTAAACTCAATTTTGAGTGTAATTAATTCGAATGGCCTTTGGTTCTAGATGATTGAGTAAAGTGTGCTGATTCTATGTTTTCCTTCAGTGTTTTTTTCATTTGTGTGCAACAATTTTTCATTTTGACTTGCTCGCCTTAAACAATATTTGTTGTTTGGAAGTTTGCATGTCAGAAATATTCAATTTATTCCAGTAATGAAAATTCAGCAAAGTAATTAGTCATTTTTCCCTATTCATGTAGTCAGTTTATAAATCTAACTTCCGACGTACACAATATACACTACACAATTAAGAAGATAATAAAATTTGTAATAATAAAACTTCTCTTTCTTTCCTGAATTTATGCCTAGTTTATTCAACCTTCTACTCTCATTAAGTGACGGACAGTGTTTTTTGCTTACCACGATTGCTCCTTGATAAACTTTCGGTTGCATCTTTATTGCAAGTAATTAATAATCTTTGATTGGTGTTATGTAGTTTTTAGCCATACACACGCGGCACTCCTATCAGCACTAACGTAATTTCTAGTACTCGCTTTTATGAAATTCATGTGCAAGAACATGGATTTTCATAACGGAATTGAAAAAATTGCACTGTGAGAAAATTATATTTTTTGTTCGGTCCCCATCCACGTTAATGTACCGCTATTTTTATTTCAGATTTATGTAGTCATGCATTCAAGTTTATGAAATTTTGTTTTCCAATTAACAATTTTTGGACAAAATGAATAAATTGCAAAGCGGCATCTAGTTCTTGTATAGTCCAGAACATTTTACAGCCTTCTATTTTCTTGGCACCCCTAAATGAAACATGTTGACTGTAGCAAAGCAGGTTGTGATAAATGAACAGAATGATTGTATTGCTATGTCATAGACATCCTGAGAGAATTGTTACCATTAATTCATATCGGTATAATGCAGTTGTTATGCATTTCACTCACTGAGATAATGGGAGTTTGGTGAGTCACCGAAAAAACATGGTTGGTCAGTGGTTTGCCATTCCTAGTTCTATAGACTTTTAAATGAAGTTTGTAAATACTAACTTCTCTGAAAAATTCGGGGAAATACCGATTGCGAAAATTTAGGATATGAAAAGAAATAGGAAAAATAGGAAAATATTTCCTCAAATTCTGTGAATATCATTTCTGGTTTCGACGAGAAAGTCAATGAATTGCTTACACGTTACCTTAATGTTCATACCATCACACCCATTATGATCATCTAATAAGTTAATTTACTAGTATACTTTTGTGAATAAGAATTTTGTCAGGATATTTTACATATTTTCTTACCAAACTAGTAATTGTAAATAGGAACTTTGGTCTGATCTACTTATCTGTTATAACCTAGTGTGATCTTATGTTCAATGTATTATACAATTTTCAAGGTTGTGTGTGCCCTGAAGGTTTATTAAGAAGTAATGATGGATGTATACATCCAAATGAATGTTTGTGTTCATACAATGGAAAATACTATCATAATGAAGAATCATTTTCTGATAATTGTCGAACTTGGTAAGTTGAATTCTTCTTAGAGATATTTTTTATATTTATTTCTGTGTTGGAAATAGTATATACATCTAAATCCTAGAACACTATTTAAAATGTGTATTTTTAACTGGAAATCCAAACAATATAATATATATAATAAATATCATATAACATAGTGAAATATAATCATGAGACATAAAGGAACCAAAAGTATGACTGCCAGAAAATGATAAGCTCAACATAAATACCGGTTTTCAGATTTTGAATACCTGTATGCCTGTGTATAATACCTGTGTATCGACACATGGCACTATAGTTGATATAAAAAAAATTCAATGCCTGCCATTATTAAATGAGTAATAAAAAAGTTGTAATTATCATTTTTAGTGCTGAACTGAAAATTTCCAATTGCTGTACCACAGTACTACAACTGATGGTGTTAGTTTTTTGAACTGCTAAATTCTGTATTACTTTATTTACCCATATTTTATTTAGTACTTGTGAATTGGGAAAATGGAATTGCATAGAAACCCCAGAGGATTGCCTTGCAGAATGCAGCGTTCTTGGCGGTATATTCTTCAATTCATTCGATTCAAAGCAGTTCACATCACTTTCAATATGCGAACAAATCCTAGTTAAAGATGGATGCGGTCAAACAGCTCATGAAAATTTGAAAATATACATGAAAAATGAATATTGTATGGGTGGCGATGATAATATTTGTAGTATTGGAATTACTGCTGAAATAGATGTATGTTAAAGTTTGTAATAATCCATTGTAATTGTTTCTATTACTACCCGATAAGATATTGTAAATAGTATTGACTATTGATTCAGGGTTTTAAATTAATAGCATATGGAAAATATTATATTTCTAAAATGGTTTGATATTTGTTTATATTCAATAATCCTAATCAAATTTATTTAGCTCCAGACTTGAGAACTTTGCTACTGATCAGATTTGAATTGTAACACATTTGTAACTTTTTTGTTTCGATGAATCTTTATTACTGTACAAAATAAGGGAATCTGTTATGATGAACATCAGTCAAATTAAACCTGCTTATATATTTGAAAGACAAGCAAAATATCAAAAGTGGTTTATAAAGATATTAACAATATCACACCATTGAAACAGCATATTACATACCACATTGAAAATGGTGAAATTTCCATTATTGACAAAAGTCATGAAGTTGTTGATCCACAACATACAATCTCTAAGAAAGGAAGGTTCCAAGTAATTTCGAGTCATTCTGGCATAAGTTTGGCATTTGATGAATCAACAACAATTTATGTTTATCTGACTTATGAATACAAGGTAAGTAATACCAATTTTGAATGCAGTAAGGGTCATTGGCCAGATCTGGTCTGGATCATATTTTGTATATTTTTCCTTTGTGTGATTTGATTACTAATTTATGTTTATCTACTATGTAATAAGATCATACAATTTTTTTCTTTGGTTGCTAAATATTACAAAGTCAGTGTACAGTGGCGATGCAGTAGTAGAAAAATACTAGTTAAATGTAATCAGCCTCTACATCAGGGCTGGGCAATTATTTTTGGTATCGGGCCACATTGAATATTCAAAATGCAGTGGCGGCCGGACTAAGTAAAGTCAATCGCACGTTTTTATTGTATTTTATTACACATTTAAATAAAATAAGTACTATATTTATTTTACTCCGTTAAAACTTTTATTCAAAGCACAATTATTAAAACTAGTTTAAAACATAAATCTCGAGATTTTGAGATAATACATAGGATCAGAGAAACGTCACGCTTGCATAACAAATAACAATGCCGAATTTTATCATTAATGCTGAAGAGTGAGTAACAATGCGGAATTAGGACCATGCCTTCGGTGGCAAAACATCGTGATTCATATACCTTTGCTGTCATCATAGCATTTTTAACGTGAACAGGGGTCGCGGAAAATTTTGATGCATTGGAAGGCATTGTGAGCATAAATCGGGATTCACTGCTCTAAAATACCACGGCTATCTGCGGATATGAAAATGTCAGATCAACTGCCGGAATATACTTACATCTGATCCCTATTTTCGATACGAGTATATTTTTAATGTATTGGTACGGGCACATTAAAATGTCGTGCTTTATTGTTATCAACCTAACCCGCGGTTGCCTTGACAAAATATAAGCATTATTCCTCTAAAATACCACCGCATTCCGCGGATATAAAAATGTGAGATAAAGTGTCAGATTATTTTTATTCGTGTTTTGTGAAATCTGATATATTCTTGCAACACTGACTTAGCTCTGTTTTAGAAATTTTACCATTTTTAAAATCCGCGATAAAATCACACCGAGTAAAATTAGTACCATGAAAATCAATTAAATTAACTTTACATTAATTATCTTATATATCAGGACCCGTCGGTAGTTTTAGAATTGTTCTAAAGGTACCTCGCCCGCACGAAAGCCATCCAATTAAAATATGTGTCGAGGGCACCAGAAATTTTTAGTTTCCAATTTCTACAACAGCGGTTTTAATCTGTCACGGGCGTTCTAAATCGAAACTTGTTTGTGTTCAATTTTTAGTATTTTTTTGGCACTCTAAAATCTAGATTTAGGTTGCTTGCTCCTTTATTTATCTTTAGCATCTCGTCGTCGATGCTTATTTAAATTTATTTATCTTCTAGCATCTCGTCGCCGATGCTTATATAAAAACTCGTTTTTCTAAATGGTTCCACAGTCCCGTATACAAGACAGATATATATAACAATCGGCAATTTAAAAAACATTAGTTGAACGTTATTACCGACTTTTTCATTATCTTAAAAATTTCGTTTGTTCACAGTTAAAGTATATTTTATATGTAAATAAAAAAGAAAGTGTCTAAATCTAGAAACCTGCTCGCGGACCGGATGAAACGTTGCAGCGGGCCGGATGTGGCCCGCGGGCCGCAACTTGCCCAGGCCTGCTCTACATCCAACTTTCAATTTCGTCATTTAAACAAAGCACGCTGTTTACAGGGAAAAGTGTGTGGCATATGTGGGAACTTTGATGACGATGCACATAATGACATGAATTCACCTTCTCAAATGTTAGAGACACAACCAAGTGATTTTATTGATAGCTGGAAGACAAACAAAGAGTGTCAAAGTGTATCACAAAGTTACGAAAAGAGTTATTGTAATATGCATCCAACTAGGAAGGAGTTTGCTTTTGAACAATGCAGCATTTTGAAAGAAAATCCTTTTAAGCAATGCCATCTATATGTGAGTAAAAGTAATATTTATCAGTGTACAGTATTTTAAGACTGGAACAAATATATTATAGCCAAATGTCATTCTTTGTTTTGTACCACATCTCAAAAATGCATTAATGATATTCTAAAAATATTTGTCTTATAAAATTTCATTTGTATTGATTTGAAGTCAATTTGTGCTACTATTTAAGTAACTTTTTACTGAGATTATGCTCAGCATAATACTTTTTTCACCATTCATTTCTGTGCATCTAGAGCTGATTTTTAAGCTAATTTTGTACTTGAGCTGTCTGTGTCCGGGCAAAAAACATTTTCCATTTTAATACCCATTATCTGAACCTATTAACATTTTTAAATGGCACTTCTTATTCATATTTTACTCTGAACAAGCCTTATCAGTTACGAATTTTCATTCCTGTATAATTAACTTTTTTTGCCATAAAAATGAATAAATAATGAATAAATGAATCCGAAATACCCAAAATATTAAAAAAATGTGTGCCTAAAGAACAATTATTGATTTCGCTTCCGGCGCAACTTTAGCTTTCACTTTTTCATTTTTCAAAAATATGAAAATGGTGAACTTCGCCATGCTATACTGTAATGCAAGTTCAGACACTTGAACACCATTCTCCTATTTCGCATTTTTTTTTACTCGATAGTTTTTCTCACTGTTTTCTTCTTCTACTTTCGTTTATCACTACTATATTATGGAGCCGTGATCTACAGCTAAAACGGCAAGAAAAACCACTAAATCACAATAATTTCTCTACATGTGCTATCCCACAAACGTTCTGACTTGAACTGATGCTTGTTAAATTATTATGAGGCAGCCGAGATGCGTGTTTTGGGTGACGTCATCTCACTTGGCACCATGCTACGCTCTGCTCGGGTGTTTGGGCTCCGAATTTCATTCGAGTATTGCAATGTTCTTGACTCAAATTTTTGGTCAACTCCCAAATTTTTCGATTCCGAGTTGTTCGAACAGGAAGGTATCACTGTATCATAGTACTATAATAATACTCTATTAGGTTGAATATGATAAATACTATGAAAGCTGTGTGGAAATGACTTGCTCGTGTCATAGTGGAGGAGACTGTGAATGCTTTTGTAATGCAGTGGCTGCATATGCTCATCAATGTGGACAGCATGGAGTTATAATTAATTGGAGAAGTGAAGCACTATGTCGTAAGTATTCACAGTATTTTGAGAAATGATGTTTTCTTTCTAAGATCTATCATAATTAGGCTTTTAGAGGGCCATGCAATTACTGCTTTTTCTCATGCTGAATTTTGATTTGTTGGAATGAGGAATTAGTACCAAATAATTTAGTGATGATGCTTTGCTGCAACAATATAAAATCCAGTGCACGATTGTGCTGTCAGGAGTATAAGCCAGAATTTATTTATTTTTTTGATCATCAAAGTCAAAAATTTCAAATGAAACAGAAAGCAGGTGGCAGCAAAAAAAAAATAAAGAGATAAAATATCACTTTTCATCATCTAAATCTGAAATAAATCTACTGTCATATTTTAAACTCCTCCCAGGGAAACATTGGCCCAAACTTTCGAAATACAAATTTTACAATATATAATGATAATTGATGTACCAATATCACAGACAATATTTTGTGCCTGTGTGGTTTGTTCACAACAAATTTTCTCCGTTACATCTGTAGATAGGTATTTTATTCTTGAAATATATGGATCTACATGTGATTTTCGTTTATTTATTCAGTTCAATATTGATATTTTGTTTAGCAATGATGTGCGAGAGCAATAACCTTGATCTATACATCTGTTTGTATCAGTATGATAGCTGTGGTTCCACTGATGGAAGAGTATGCTGTGATGACAATGATGCTTCAACTTATGGTGTTTGTTATGAAGGATGCTTCCCTAAGTATGGCCAAAATATTTAAATCTGGAATGCACTTCGTAATTTGAAACTCCATCTTAAATACACAAACATAAGAGTGAATTAATGGTATTTGTTCACATTACCATCCAAAATAGAATGTGCTTTTACCCAATCAATATTAATTCTGATTCAGCTTCTTGACCCATGTCTGCCCTCTCCAACAACAGCAAACAAAATTAGGATAATCTCAAAATTTGTAACTCATTAAAATTATATAAAATTCACATTCATCCAAGAAAAATTCAAAATTTCGAAAACCTTTTTTTCCAGCAGTTATAGTTTTGGTTCATTCACATTGGCCTGTCAAAGCTGTATGCCAAATTGCCACAGCCTATTAAAATTGAGTCAGACAAAATCAAGTAAGGCACCCTTTCTTTTCTCTTACGAGAAAATGATAGATACCGGTATGTACATGACACAAGGGCACGAGTACTGGAATAAATTATTTTTATTGAATTCGTGTTTAATAAACTTTGAATGCTATACTGAATGATAATATTACTCGACTCAGACCTGTGAGAAATTGTTTTGTAATAATAAAGGTATTGGAATAGAAGTAGAAATTGTGACACCAAACGAATGCGAGTTCAGTTGTTTTTTCTCTGACTTATTGCATTCCTTATCAATTTTGTTAAACTTGTATTGTAAAATCTTCATTTTAATAACAGCTGTCCGGAAGGAAAACAATTTGAAAGATCATCACAGATGTGTGTACCAATAAATGAATGTGATTGTCCTTCCTCAACGACAACAACAGTTACAGAGTTCACGAGCACTTCTCACATAACATCTCCAACTAGTCCAGAAATACAAATGAATATGACAACTACTTCTCCCTCAGCATCGTCTGCGAAAATTTCAACAACGGAAGAGTACACTGTTACACATCCTGCAGAAACATCTGTATATTTAGGTAGGATCTGGTAATTTTATTTTCCAATTTTTTGTAACTAAGGAATGATTCTCATTAATTAACTTTTGAGTCAGTTCTTTTTCCTATCTTTGTTCATATGTATGGTTTAGGTAAAATGTAATCTGCCGTAGTCTTCTATCTTCCCACAACTGAGGATAAGCTTCAAAGCTCACCTCATTTTTTGGATAATGTGAACGGTCATCATGGTACTGAAACAAGCGCGCAAACATGCATTGCAATGCTGAAAATTTCTGTGACAACCCAAATATTAAGGACATTCATCATAGAAAAAAATTTCTTCATTTTTGATGCTAATCATGAGACAATAAGGTTGTGCAATATAGATCCATAAATATGGCTTATGTATGTTCTATATATACTGTTTGGGATGGCCAATTCGAATAAAGTATTCGAATGTATTCGAATATCTCGTCATTCGAATATCGGAATTCACGTTCATAAGAATATCGGATATTTGTGTGACGTCACACATTTTCGACGCCGCTTTCAAGACGTTTCCGTTGAATGAAAACATTCTCGATAGAAACTTGCGCGTGATTGTTTTCATCACTCATCAGCGTGAAGTGTTATTTAGGCCGTAAACGCCTTTACGATTGTGTTATTTTCTCTAAAACGAAAATTTTCCACAAATTTGTTCCACGATAACGATAACATTTATTTTATTTTTGTACGCGCACGGAATTGTGAATCTGGTAAATACGTTCATTGGCGGCGAGTTTCTAAAGACAACGCAACTTTTTGATTGAAAAGCGGCAATTTAAAATACTGAAAATAAAATCGTAAACAATATAAGTTTTATTGAGGCCCGCGAAAATTTAAAAAACGCTCTTCTAGGCAGTGAAAATCGCAAAATTTCGTGTGCCTCTGGCACACATTATGTTTGGTCGGCGTTTAGAAACATATCGTCACTAATTGAGGGCGTGATTTGCCTGATTATCCATTACTTTAAATTGCCGTCGAATATTTTCGTGTTAACACGATACAAGGTTTGAAACGAGACTTTTTCCCGGGTTGTGAGGATGTATATAATATAATTAATCTAAAGTATATTCAATCAATTTTATTGTGATGAAATAAATTTTACTCTGAGATATTACTGCATATTTATGGATTTTTCGAACGGTTTTATCTAAAAATAATCAGAGTGGCAGCATTTCGATCGAGCGGAGTCACTGTTGACAAGCACATCTAAAATTCTAAATATTTGCCAAATTCGCAAAATACGGATCAAAACAATATTTAATCGGACAGTTTACCTCACGTTTTTATTTTTATAACCGCGGATTGCAATGGTATATAAGAGTGGTGAGGTTTTAATTTTGTCGACGCAACCGCAGATTAAATTGAAGATAATTAAATTAATAAAGCAAGACATTTTTAATACGCGTGTCGGTCACGAATTCATCACTTTGCACAACAGAAAAATATATATTCGTTGTTATATTATTTGTTGTAAAAGTCGACTCTTTTAACAGGTGGCATAATCGCGGCGATGAATATGTATTTTTAATTCACTGCTAAACTTTATATGTATATTCATTGTATGAAATGAATTATACTCTACACTTAACAGGATTTTATATAATTATTTGAGATTTTTCTAACGGCGATAACGAGTTGGCAAGATTGCAAAAATACGTATTAAAATTAAATACATCAGGCAGTTTATCTCGTAATTTTAAGTCACAGATCGCCGTGGACCGAATAGTAATGTTTTTTTTTGGACGTAAGAAGAAGCAACCGCGAGTTACGTAGGACACATTAAATTAATATATAAAGATATTTTAGAATCTCGTAGTTGTCATAGATTGAATATTTTACGTAACAGAATGATCATTATACGCTGAAAAGACGGCTCTTTTAACGAGCGCGAAATCGCGGTGGGTGTTACAGGCGGCAATGGGAATTTCCGATTTCGAAAATCCTGGCTGCGCGCTGGCAGTAGTGGTCATCTATTCTCTACCAATTTATTTCTAATTCCAGACACAACAATATGTTACACATAATAACAATATGGTTCACATAAATTAATATACAAATATACCGGTAAATATATAAAGGCATAATGGATTTTCGATTGTTGTTGCCTGTATTGCCAATAAATTTTTATTACTCTCAGAAAATATACACAATTATCTGAATACAAGTAGTATTTTTGTCAATAGACTTGACTAATATCGTAATATCATGGTACCAATGATAGAAAGCGTCAGACAACTCCTTGGCTATCTTTTCATATGGTCATTTGTACAAAGTGGATAATTTTAATAAACTGACTGTGTCACAAGTTGCTATTATTTTTTATTGATAGCTATAAACTATCAATTACTTTGTGTACATATACTGTTGGTTTGTATCTTCATTCTGATATTTCTATTGAAGCTTATGTCCTAATTTACTGGGTTTTAATCAACTAAAACAAAAATGTGTTATTTTCGATTTTAGAATGTATTCGGAATTCCAGATTCGAAAACATTATTTTAGAATGTATTCGGAATAGTTTAGTATTCGGAAATGGCCATCCCTTCTGTAATACAGTGGTTCTCAACCTATGGAAGCAACGATTAACTTTTGAGTTTGCTAAAATATGGTGACCACAAGTTTGTAGCGTTACCAGTTCCTGTCTTGAGATCGCCCTTGCCCGCTACTGCCCACCTAAATGAGATAATGAACAGAACCTTTCAACCCTGAAGGGCAGTCAACACAAATTCTCTCGCGTTTTTTCCACCTAATTAATACGTGGTTATTGCATATAATTGCTACATTGGAACTTTGTATGAAGCAGTAAAATGGATGTAGTACCACGTTATGAAATACTTCCGTAGCGCGTTTCCTGTGCCATTATTCCCCACCTCAAAAGGGAGTTTTTTCGATGGTACACGGTCAAAGTAAAAACATCAAAATGGTACGCAATCAGTAAAAGGATGAGAACCTCTTTCTCAATGCAGCGTTCGTCAGTCCATCGAGTTTCTGCTACTCCCAGTAATGTCAGTCTAAAGATCCTCAGCTTCTTGACATACGTTTTCCAAGGTGTACATTTCATACAGCTATGGTGGTAAGACTGTACTTTCGAGATTTCAGTGGCGCTTTATCAGACCTTCCTTGCGGGTTAGAGTCACTTTTGTTATTACATTGAACATACTCTCCTGAAGTCGAGCCTCTTCCCTTTAAACTATTTACAACAGGTTCCTCCGCAGGGGGCTCAGATTCTCCTGTATTTCTTGCTTTTTTCAATAGAGATTTCGAATTAAAAGACAATACATTAGATTCTATCTTGATCTTGCGGACGTTGAAAATAATTGTTGAAGTTAAACTTGAGAGTGTAAGTAGGTTGTTTGCATTTTTAATAAAAACAGATGTCATGGTATTTTATTAATTTCAAACAATATTTGCATGCAAAATGTTACCTACTGTGAATTTTTTATTTTAGAATCTGTCTCTACTCCCTTGAGTACATCAAAAATTAGCTCTCCATCAACAGGAATTGTCTTCACTACTGGACAAACTAGCATATCAGGTGTATTTAGTTCTACACCATTACCAGGAACTGGGCCAAGTTCCGAACAAGAGACTAGACCACCAGCTGGAATTAGTTCTACATCATTACCAGGAACTGGTCCAACTTCCGAACATGAGACTAGACCACCAGGTGGAGTTAGTTCTACACCATTACCAGGAACTGGGTCAACAATACCAGGAACTTGGCCAACTTCCGGAAATAGAACTGGACCACCAGGTGGAGTTAGTTCTACACCATTACCAGGAACTGGGCCAACGATACCAGAAACTTGGCCAACTTCCGGAAATAGAACTGGACTACCAGGTTCAGTTAGTTCTACACCGTTACCAGGAACTGGGCCAACAATACCAGGAACTTGGCCAACTTCCGGAAATAGAACTGGACCACCAGGTGGAGTTAGTTCTACACCATTACCAGGAACTGGGCCAACTTCGGAACATGAGACTAGACCACCAAGTAGAGTTAGTTCTACATCATTACCAGAAACTGCGCCAACTTCCCAACATGAGACTAGACCACCGGGTGGAGTTAGTTCTACATCATCACCAGGAACTGGGCCAACTTCCGAACACGAGACAAGACCACCAGGTGGAGTTAGTTCTACACCATTACCAGGAACTGGGCCAACTTCCGAACATGAGACTAGACCACCAGGTGGAGTTAGTTCTCCACCATTACCAGGAACTGGGTCAACTTCCGAACATGAGACTAGACCACCAGGTGAAGTTAGTTCTACACCATTACCAGGAACTCGGCCAACTTCCCAACATGAGACTAGACCACCAGGTGGAGTTAGTTCTACACTATTACCAGGAACTGGTCCAACTTCCGAACATGAGACTAGACCACCAGGTGGAGTTAGTTCTACACCATTACCAGGAACTGGGCCAACTTCCGAACATGAGACTAGACCACCTGGTGGATTTAGTTCTACACCATTACCAGGAACTGGGCCAACTTCCGAACATGAGACTGGAACACCAGGTCGTGTTAGTTCTACACTATTACCAGGAACTGGGCAAACTTCCCAACATGAGACTAGACCACCAGGTGGATTTAGTTCTACACCATTACCAGGAACTGGGCCAACTTTCGAACATGAGACTAGACCATCAGGTGGAGTTAGTTCTACACTATTACCAGGAACTGGGCCAACTTCCGAACATGAGACTGGACCCTCAGGTGGAGTTAGTTCTACACCATTACCAGGAACTGGTCCAACTTCCGAACATGAGACTAGACCCCCAGGTGGAGTTAGTTCTACATTATTACCAGGAACTGGGCCAACTTCCGAACATGAGACTAGACCATCAGGTGTTGTTAGTTCTACACTATTACCAGGAACTGGGCCAACTTCCGAACATGAGACTGGACCATCAGGTGGAGTTAGTTCTACACTATTCCCAGGAACTGGGCCAACTTCCGAACATGAGACTAGACCAACAGGTGGAGTTAGTTCTACACCATTACCAGGAACTGGGCCAACTTCCGAACATGAGACTGGACCACCAGGTGTAGTTAGTTCTACACTAGTACCAGGAACTGGGCCAACTTCCGAACATGAGACTAGACCGCCAGGTGGATTTAGTTCTACACCATTACCAGGAACTGAGCCAACTTCCGAACATGAGACTAGACCATCAGGTGGAGTTAGTTCTACACTATTACCAGGAACTGTGCCAACTTCCGAACACGAGACTAGACCATCAGGTGGAGTTAGTTCTACACTATTACCAGGAACTGGGCCAACTTCCGAACATGAGACTAGACCATCGGGTGGAGTTAGTTCTACACTATTACCAGGAACTGGGCCAACTTCCGAACATGAGACTGAACCATCAGGTGGAGTTAGTTCTACACTATTACCAGGAACTGGGCCAACTTCCCAACATGAAACTAGACCACCAGGTGGGGTTAGTTCTACACTATTACCAGGAACTGGGCCAACTTCCGAACATGAGACTGGACCACCAGGTGGTGTTAGTTCTACAATATTACCAGGAACTGGGCCAACTTCCGAACATGAGACTAGACCACCAGGTGGATTTATTTCTACACCATTACCAGGTACTGGGCCAACTTCCGAACATGAGACTAGACCATCGGGTGGAATTAGTTCTACACTATTACCAGGAACTGGGCCAACTTCCGAACATGAGACTAGACCATCAGGTGGAGTTAGTTCTACACTATTACCAGGAACTGGGCCAACTTCCGAACATGAGACTGGACGATCAGGTGGAGTTAGTTCTACACTATTACCAGGAACTGGGCCAACTTCCGAACATGAGACTGGACCATCAGGTGGAGTTAGTTCTACACTATTACCAGGAACTGGGCCAACTTTCGAACATGAGACTGGACCATCAGGTGGAGTTAGTTCTACACTGTTACCAGGAACTGGGCCAACTTCCCAACATGAGACTAGACCACCAGGTGGTGTTAGTTCTACACTATTACCAGGAACTGGGCCAACTTCCGAACATGAGACTAGACCATCGGGTGGTGTTAGTTCTACACTATTACCAGGAACTGGGCCAACTTCCGAACATGAGACTGGACGATCAGGTGGAGTTAGTTCTACACTATTACCAGGAACTGGGCCAACTTCCGAACATGAGACTGAACCATCAGGTGGAGTTAGTTCTACACTATTACCAGGAACTGGGCCAACTTCCCAACATGAGACTAGACCACCAGGTGGAGTTAGTTCTACACCATTATCAGGAACTGGGCCAACTTCCAAATATGAGACTGGACCATCAGGTGGAGTTAGTTCTACACTTTCACCAGGAACTGGAACAACTTCCGAACATAAGACTAGACCATCGGGTGGAGTTAGTTCTACACTATTACCAGGAACTGGGCCAACTTCCGAACATGAGACTAGACCATCAGGTGGAGTTAGTTCTACACTATTACCAGTAACTGGGCCCATTTCTGAACATGAGACTGGACCATCAGGTGGAGTTAGTTCTACACTATTACCAGGAACTGAGCCAACTTCTGAACATGGAACTGGACCATCAAGTGGAGTTAGTTCTACACTATTACCAGGAACTGGGCCAACTTCCGAACATGAGACCGGACGATCAGGTGGAGTTAGTTCTACACTATTACCAGGAACTGGGCCAACTTCCGAACATGAGACTGGACCATCAGGTGGAGTTAGTTCTACACTATTACCAGGAACTGGGCCAACTTCCCAACATGAGACTAGACCACCAGGTGGAGTTAGTTCTACAATATTACCAGGAACTGGGCCAACGTCCGAACATGAGACTGGATCATCAGGTGGAGTTAGTTCTACACTATTACCAGGAACTGGGCCAACTTCCGAACATGAGACTAGACCATCAGGTGGAGTTAGTTCTACACTATTACCAGAAACTGGGCCAACTTCCAAATATGAGACTGGACCATCAGGTGGAGTTAGTTCTACACTATTATCAGGAACTGGACCAACTTCCGAACATGAGACTAGACCATCAGGTGGAGTTAGTTCTACACTATTACCAGGAACTGGGCCAACTTCTGAACATGAGACTGGACCATCAGTTGGAGTTGGTTCTACACTATTACCAGGAACTGGGCCAACTTTTGAACATGAGACTAGACCATCGGGTGGAGTTAGTTCTACACTATTACCAGGAACTGGGCCAACTTCCCAACATGAGACTAGACCACCAGGTGGGGTTAGTTCTACACTATTACCAGGAACTGGGCCAACTTCCGAACATGAGACTGGACCATCAGGTGGAGGTAGTTCTACACTATTACCAGGAACTGGGCCAACTTCCGAACATGAGACTGAACCATCAGGTGGAGTTAGTTCTACACTATTACCAGGAACTGGGCCAACTTCCGAACATGAGACTGGACCATCAGGTGGAGTTAGTTCTACACTATTACCAGGAACTGGGCCAACTTTCGAACACGAGACTAGACCATCGGGTGGAGTTAGTTCTACACTATTACCAGGAACTGGGCCAACTTCCGAACATGAGACTGGATCATCAGGTGGAGGTAGTTCTACACTATTACCAGGAACTGGGCCAACTTCCGAACATGAGACTGAACCATCAGGTGGAGTTAGTTCTACACTATTACCAGGAACTGGGCCAACTTCCGAACATGAGACTGGACCATCAGGTGGAGTTAGTTCTACACTATTACCAGGAACTGGGCCAACTTCCCAACATGAGACTAGACCACCAGGTGGAGTTAGTTCTACACTATTACCAGGAACTGGGCCAACTTCCCAACATGAGACTAGACCAACAGGTGGAGTTAGTTCTACACTATTACCAGGAACTGGGCCAACTTCCGAACATGGGACTGGACCATCAGGTGGAGTTAGTTCTACACTATTACCAGGAACTGGGCCAACTTCCGAACATGAGACTGGACCATCAGGTGGAGTTAGTTCTACACTATTACCAGGAACTGGGCCAACTTCCGAACATGAGACTGGACCATCAGGTGGAGTTAGTTCTACACTATTACCAGGAACTGGGCCAACTTCCGAACATGAGACTAGACAAACAGGTGGAGTTAGTTCTACACCATTACCAGGAACTGGGCCAACTTCCGAACATGAGACTAGACCACCAAGTGGATTTAGTTCTACACCATTACCAGGAACTGGGCCAACTTCCGAACATGAGACTGGATCATCAGGTGGAGGTAGTTCTACACTATTACCAGGAACTGGGCCAACTTCCGAACATGAGACTGAACCATCAGGTGGAGTTAGTTCTACACTATTACCAGGAACTGGGCCAACTTCCGAACATGAGACTGGACCATCAGGTGGAGTTAGTTCTACACTATTACCAGGAACTGGGCCAACTTCCGAACATGAGACTGGACCATCAGGTGGAGTTAGTTCTACACTATTACCAGGAACTGGGCCAACTTTCGAACACGAGACTAGACCAACGGGTGGAGTTAGTTCTACACTATTACCAGGAACTGGGCCAACTTCCGAACATGAGACTGGATCATCAGGTGGAGGTAGTTCTACACTATTACCAGGAACTGGGCCAACTTCCGAACATGAGACTGAACCATCAGGTGGAGTTAGTTCTACACTATTACCAGGAACTGGGCCAACTTCCGAACATGAGACTGGACCATCAGGTGGAGTTAGTTCTACACTATTACCAGGAACTGGGCCAACTTTCGAACACGAGACTAGACCATCGGGTGGAGTTAGTTCTACACTATTACCAGGAACTGGGCCAACTTCCCAACATGAGACTAGACCACCAGGTGGAGTTAGTTCTACACTATTACCAGGAACTGGGCCAACTTCCGAACATGAGACTGGATCATCAGGTGGAGGTAGTTTCTACACTATTACCAGGAACTGGGCCAACTCCGAACATGAGAC